ATTGTTCCTAGGGGAAGGTGCACGGCGGCCCGTGGCAGTGGCAAGGGCTAGTTCAGCAAGCCTGCCACCGGCACACCGCGCTGCCTCTTCCTTTCAGCACTTAGCAGTGTTTGAAGGTAGCCACACATCCTGCATTTCCCCACCGCCTCAAAGCAAGGGCAGCAAGCGGGTGCAGCGGTCCCAGCTGAACAGCAGCAAGGGCAGGTGAGCGGCACACCTGCCACACAGGCGCTTACCTCCTCTCTGCCTTGCAGGTGGGTTCACAGGATAATACCCGAGAAGGTAGCAGGACAGGGACTGGGACCTGGCTTGGCTTGGCTGGGCAACACCTCACACTGGGAACAGCACTCCCAATGCAGGTCGAGCATGGGGCAAGCTGCTCCGGCCAAGATCATTGCTCAGCAGGGATTCGGTTAGCATCTCCAACCGCTTTCAACACATGCCCTATCCCATGCTTTTTGGCTATGGATAAGGGAGTTGTACAGCTGCAACAACGGCAACAAAATCCCCTTTCGCTACAGGAAGCCCATAGCAGAGCCCTTCAGTAGCACCATCTACCCGCCTGCACTGCTCACTGTCTAGTTGGAGGCATCCCCAGACTCTCCCTGCACAACCCCTTGGGCCAGAGGATCGTGCATCAGGGGCTGGCAGAGAAGATCTTGCTGCCTGAGCCTAGAGGCAGACGACAGACTAGCCCCAGGAACACGGGAGCATCGTGCCCACGCATGAACCACTGCGCCTGCTGACGCAGTTTGACAAGATCTCATGTAAAGCCGCGCGTGTCGGAGAGGCACCGGCAAATGGGGCAGAGTTGGATATGCTCCCCGACATTGGCAGACAGCTAGCTCAGGACTAGCTTGTCTACCTATCCACAGGGAGGTTGCAACCCCAGTGCCTGTACAGCGCTTTGGAGAGGTAGAAGGCAGGAAAACAGGAACAAGTTTTGACCACAAGTTGAGCAGCCCCCCAGGAAACCCCATCTCTGGGACAGCCCAGGCCGGTAGGAGGATCAAACGGCTTGCAGCAGCTCTTCCTTATTGCAGCAGCGCAGGGCTCTAGTGTTCATTTCCTGAGCGCTAAGGGCAGACATGGAGTTCATCTGAAGGTTTCAGGATACAGAGCAGGTGTCCAGCCCCAGCATTTGGTGCTTTCTCAGACTTTGCCCCATAAGAGAGACAAGTCCCACTGCTCTGAGCAAAGGAAGGCACGGAGCAGAACTGGCAACAGGAGGGCCATGGCAGGCACAGTGGCCTCTGGCCGAGCCTTGGCCGTTAGCAAAACAGGGTCAGGCAGGATGTGGCAGCTGCCAGCTCAGAGCGCGCTGATCGGTATCTGCACAGTACAGACAGTGGAGGCAGAGGTGCCGGTTTCAAAGTCTCCAGCAGGACCGAGCAGCAGCAGCAAAGGACACAAATGCTTTGAGACATGTCACTGGACTCTGCTCCAACGAAAGCAGCCTTGGGTCCCATCAGTGGCTCTGCAGCGAGGCAGTCAGAGGTTACAGTCCAAACGAGGCAGCTGCAGTGGTGCTTGGTGCAGGCTGGGAGGCTGGCACATGTACATGCTTTAAGAGGTCTTCTTTATTCTAGTTCCATTCAGAAGGCCGCCTCCAGCAGGGCTTAGCAGCACGTTAAGCACAGGCCCTGAAGCTGCTTGGAACATGATGGTAATTGCATTTGTGACAAAAATCAGTGAGTATCCCTAGATTGGCCTCATGTAGATGGGCTGGCACGGCTGTGCGGGAGGTTTATATCCCTACACAGCACTTGCTCAATGGCAAGCTCATGCGGGAAGCTGTGGAACAGACTTTATTTGAAGGCCAATTCTGGTTCTGAGTCAAAAGGAGCTGCTTCTGCTCTTACTTTCAATTAAAAAAAGAAAAAAAAAAATCAGGGTCCATTGTCAGCTGGGTACTTTCCTAGCCAGCAGCACTTTTCAGCAACTTCAGCTGACTCAGAGCAAGAGGAGCAGAGTTCCTTGTTAAGGAGCGCTTTGCTTTCCAAGAGACGGTTAAACAGTCCCGTCAGATTGGCCTCTCAGGAGTTCATCCGCTGCCTTGTTTATTCAAGAGGAAGCAGCTCAAGTTTGTTATTCTCAAGTTTAACGCCCAAGTTCCCTTCAGCGACACTCGCCTGCCTTAAATAAAATCATTAAGCCTGCATTGTTAGAGGAACTGGATCATCGTGCTGCTACTTAAAATCGCTGGAAATTGTTTCAAGCCAGGAGTAGGGGTATGAAGACTAAAATGGACCAATTCAGAGAGAGTATTAGGGGAAGTGGCAAGACACACGGGCAATTAAAGCCTACTTCTTTCAAACCATACGTTTAAAAATACTGGCTCAGTAAGACGAGCAGTTCCCCAAACTAATTTTAGAGCAAGTAGCACGTATTCCTCCTCAGGGCAGATGCTCACAAACTTCCTGGCTTATAAGCCGCCCAAGGACCAGAGCTGTGCAAGTACCTGGGCCCCTCGTGGCTGAGGCTTTACCATCATTTACAGAGCATCTCACCGTGAACCGAGGGAGCATTGAAATTAAAGAGCCTCTCGGCAGCGGGTATTTTCCGCACAGCTCCCAACACCGTGCTTGAGAACGGATCTCGGTGATGCTGCTAGTCTCCTGCCATTTGCTCACTTCAAATCACAAAGAAACTGCGTTAAAGACACCCTGAATGCCTTTATTGATTTCCTATTTACAAATCACAAAGCTGGCCCAAAGCAGAGTGCGAACACTAAATGAGAGCATTTGATACATTCATCAATAAAGCACTAGAGTCTAGACATTCCCAGCTCTGTTGGAAAGGTGACATGATACAATAGGATGGTCTCAAACTTTTGGAGACAGGCATGTTCCACAATGCATTACATTCATACTATCTACAAAAGCCAGAATTGCATCAAACTGCATAAAGCCATAAAACAAAAGGTCGCTTAGATGTAGTTCAGTTTAAAACAGGACTTCTCCCCCAGTAGGACAGTCTGAAGAAGAGACCTGCCTAGTGGCATGAAAAGGATGGGGTGGGAGAGGGAGAAGGAGGGACGCGACACAGGAAACCTACAGTAGGATTTAAAAAAAAAAATGCTTTAAGGAGAAAGCCACCAGGGAGGCCTACCTCTCAGCGCGTCCAGGTTATGAGGTCTTGACAACTGCTTACTTCCAAGTCCTGCTATTTTCATGGCCAAGTGTGCAGATTTGCTTCTCATCGTCCAATTACTTCAGCGATCACCACTTATATACAGAAATGCTAGGGAGGGGGGAGCGCTATATCCACAGCAAAGAGAATTTACACCTAAAGGGAGCAAATGGGCAAAGATGCCCCAAGCCCGGATGCAGTTCAGTGGCACAAGCTTGGACGACAGGTGAAAAAATGGGAGTGCAAAAGCGGGCTCAGCAGGGAGAGGCAGCTATATACATTCCAACAGAAGGCAATTTCCCTCTTAGAGGAAGGAGCATCTCCATTCTGTTCATCCATTTCAGAATATGGTTTGCATTGCACAGAATCAGGTTCAATAAGTCATGGACCCATCATTTTTTAGTACTGGCCATATTAAAAATCATCCTACTCTGAAGCAGGCTTACAATATACACATCTTATAATGTCTTCCTAGAGAACGCCACGCTGTCAAACAGTATCTACTATCTACTGAGTACTAGGTGAGAACTGTTCCTGATAATATTACCGCTGCCTGGCAGATGGAAGTTAGCCAGATAGCACAGAACAAGGACAAAAAACAAATAAAGTTACTTCATGAGGCCAGACCAGAGAGGGTAGAAGAGAGAAAAAAGAAGAAAAAGAAAAATCAGAGACTATTTCCCCAGCAGGGACCAGGTACTAAGTCATGCACCTCAGTAAAGGCTGACTAGATGCCAATGCTGCGAACCCAGCAAGTCGACTGCTCGCACACGACTTGAAAGAGCCATTGTGGCAGGAGGGGAGAGGAAAACGTCACCTCCACCCGCTAACCTTCACTTCAAGGAGGCGCCGCGAAACACCGGCAAATCTCACGCAAGCACTTCTGAATGGTTTGCCCCACGTATGCTGAAAAGCTTGTATTTCAAACAGCTTCCTCTGCACAACACAGTGGTAAATGCCCCTTAATTTGGGGGGCAAGGTTGAGACCATTCAGATGGCTGCAAGTAAAGATGCGCAGCAGGGCAATATTGTATTTAACTGAAGTCACACCTGCTTATGGGGAAAAGCAACTGCTTTCAAGTGGGTGAAAGAGGGGGATGACTTTGCAATTAACCCCCGCTGCCCCCCTTCCCAGTCTGGTGCTAAAGCTAGAATTCCTTCCGAGTCGGTCCAAGCAGTCACTGCCTGGCCTGACTGCAAGCGGGGACAGAGAAATGTGCATGGACAAGCGGGGAATTATGTCCGCAGTGTTCTCCTAACTGGCTCCGACTCCCCATCCGTCTGCTGCGTTCCCAGACAACAGGCACTTGCGCTCCAAACCTCTGCCTACTCTGCACCAGAGCGGCAGCGCTCTGGAGCGGCCAGTGAACAGCCTCGATGCATGGAGAACAAACCAGTCGGATGCACTGGAGCTTGTGTGAAAAGCAGGGCAGCAGCATGCTGAGGAACGGCAGCCAGGTGAGGTACCTTGGTTGCTTCTACCTGACAAACTACCTTAAAACAGAAAGGAGTCGCTTAGCCTGGTAGGGATTCCCTGCCGCTCAGTGCTGCAGCAGGGACATCACCTGTTTGTTCACATATGATGCAGAGTAAGCTCAAAAAAAAAAAAAAAGAGCGCCACCATGACAGAGCAGGGGAGCCTGCACGTAGGTCACAATGGAGCTCTACTGAAAGCCAATCTGGTCCTCTCCAAGCGTACATGGCCATCTATCCACAGGGGGTTTCAGTTCGCTTCCACCAACTGCCTAAAGTAAAAGATTGTCTCAAAGTTAGTGAGAAGAGCATGGAAACGCTGTGGACCCTGCAGAAGTGGTCTCCTTGGAGCGTACAACTCTGGTTCGAGGTCGCCCTCGAGCCCTTGTAGTGCTGAAACAGGGAAGTCTCAATTCCCTTATGCTCTCGCTAACGGCATAAACATGCCAGGCCCGTTCTGGTGGGCTGCATGTTGCGGGCGACCGCACTGTCCACGCAGTACTATGGGAGCAACACAGCAAACCCGCCCCCCAGAAGGCAGAGTTGGGCAAAAGGGAAAAGAAAAAAAAAAAGGGGGAGGGATGGGGAATCAGTGACCCTTTGGGTTTTTCGTAGGATTGTCTCCTCACTGGGAACTGAACCATACCCAGAGCCACTTGTTTCCATGCTTCTGATAGAAAAGCATCTACATTCATTACAATTAAAAAAAACAAAACAACCCATGACATTAGATGGATCATCAGTAAAATGAGAAGAGTCCCTAGCCACAGGCAATCTACAAATGAGACTGGCGACCCAGTGAGTCTGTACGTGGCAGCAGCAGCGTCACGAGCACAAGGCAAAACATGAGTTTTAAAAGGGTTTTACTGAGACCTTTGGCTAGTATGGCTCCCAATGGCAGGGTCGAACTCAGCCAGAGATTTTGGTGGGAAGGTTATGTGGGGGGGAAACAAAAAAAAGTCCATCCCGAGCCCGTTCCAACAGCTGCACTATGTGTAGAAGATGATTTCTGGGATCTGTCCATCCTCCACAGAAGTGCCGTTGTTGTTCCCAGCCGCGTAACAGAAAGTAAAGCAGGTTTTGGCTCCCGTCGTTGGCGATTCGTGAATCACTTTGCGCAGTCCTTTGGTCCCGTAGTGGGAATCTGGACCCTGCAGGAGTCACCGAAAACAAGGGGAAACGGATGAGTAAGATGGGAAATGCAGAATGCAGCCAGTGGAGGATGACCACACAGCTCACTCGCACCGTGAGGCTGCGAGCCGAGGGCCTGACCACGCACCCTTCCGCCCTCTGAAGCACAGGACCTGAAGGGGCTCAGTGCTGCCCTGCCTACCAAGTCTCAGGTATTTTAGAGGACGCCATTTTCTACAGTCCAAGCAATAGCTCACTTAAACTCTACATTCCCCTTCAACATGTTGGGCCCCCACCCCCAACACTACTGTTTTATACAGCGGGTGAGGCTCCAAAGCCCTGAATTCAATAGAGGCTGCAGAACCAGGGAAAGTTTAAACAGCTCTTGGTGGTAACAACCGACACCACCTCTTGTAGCAACCTCCTGCCTTGCTCCACTCCTCTATGCTCTAGCCCCACTGAGCACCCAAGCTCACATGCACCAGCTGCCCATGCCACTTGCGTCACGCAGGCTGCAGAGTGGCAACCTCTGCCCTAGACACTGACCCCATTAGTGACAGCGAGGCACCGATGCTACTTTCTCAACCAATACAGACAGGAACCAGCTGTTTTGTAGTTTAGAAAATTCAAAGACCCTTCCTAGTCTCACCAGGAAGACACCGTTGCTTCAGCACTAAGGCAGCAAGCCGCACTTGCCTAGCAAACTTTGTAGAATCCATTTACTAACCAACTTTAACAGGCACCTCAGGAGTTAAGGGCTACAGAGTGACATCTCAGGAAACGGCATCAAGGTACCTTGGGAGATCTAAAACCAAGATCTATGATGGCTCAGAGCTGCTTTGGTCTATCATTAATCCTCCCTCCTGACCCCGTAAACCCGAGGACAGAACCCATTACAGCACCTTTAACGTAGCACATGCTGTGTAGTTGACGTTGGGCAAAATCTCAACAGGCTCTTTAAACATGACCCGGAAAGTGTTGGAGGATCCATCACAGCTGAACCCAGTGTCATTTTGGCCCAAGACCGTATTGCTGTCTGTGTGGATGATCTGGAAGGTAGATTCAACAGACAAGAGTCTTAATTAAATACGCTCATGTTTCTTCCAACATAGTAGATCATTGCCCATTCCACTAACTGGCCCAGTACATGCAAGTCAGACGGGGGAAACACTGACACTGCTGCACTGCTCAGTAGGCGCACAGCAGTTTCACCAGCGTCTCTGGGACACACTCACCAGTTGCACTACGTCTGCTGGCTCCCTCCTGCACAAGTGCTTTGAACACTACAGCTACACCAAAGCACAAGTGCGTGAGGTGAGGACAGAGAGCAAGAAGAAGGGACTGCTAGGAGTCAGCTCTCTTGTATTCGCAGCAGAGGTGCTGAACCCTCATGTGGTTTGTACTCAGAGACAGAGGCGCCTCTCAAAGCCAAAACCAACCAGCAGGACATTATCATGAACTCTGACACAGGCAAACAAAGGTTTACCAAATGGATATGCCTGTCAAGGAGGAGAGCTGGCTTATCAGAATCAAGAGGAGTCAAGAGATCATAGGAAACTAGGTCACATCTAATCCAGCCCCTTGCTCAAGGTAGGATGATCCCCGACTAAACCACCCCAGCCTAGCGTCTGTCCAAACGGCTCCTGAAACTTCCAGGGATGGCAATTCCTCTCTCTCAGCGGCCTGCTCCAAGATCGTAGCTGGGGTCAAGATGGTTAAGGGAAGTTAGTGATCCGAGTCATCTCAAATCCAACTGCACACGATTTGGATCTATACGGCTACAGAAGTCTGGATCTCAGCAACTTCTGAGACCTTGACTCCTCTTCACTGAGATTTTATATCCATTGCATGGGGGGATACTGTTGCTCAGGTCTTTTTAGTTTTAAGTTCTGGAGTGCCAAGGCAGCGTCCTCAGAAAGAGGCCCTCAAAAAAGGCCAACCTCTTCAGAAAGAGTCACTGAATTGGCAGCCTGTTGTGAATGGTTCATGGAGTTGGATCTGAATTAAATGCCCAGGCATCCAGAGGAGGAGCTGCATTCAATCTCCCCAAGCCATGTGATCCCACATCACTCCACGCTGCCAAGTGGATCCAGAGCACAGCAAGCAGACTGCGCTAACAGCACGGACTAAGTGAGGAGGGAGCTTTCTGCCAGCAGAGTTTCACTCCAGACCTCAGGCCAATGCATTCCTTATGGCTTAGCCGCGCGTCTCACTCCAAACAAGCATCCATAAATATGGACTCACCATCCCTGCTGAGCACTTGGTTTATGCCTCGTTTTATGAAAAAAGCCTGGAGCTCTCAATAGCTTTAGTTTGCGGTATGTGTGCCCCTCAAGGACAGGGTGACTGTTGCCCAAGTGTACAGGTGCTGAGCAAAGGCACAACAACGGCTTGGTAAAAGCCTCTGTACAAAGTGGTTTGTGGAAGACAGAACGGAGCAAAACGAAGGCAGCTGCTTTCACTCATTACTTTGGCTTCGTGAACATGCACCCCCTCCACTCCGTGGGGAGAGCTGGATTGGTGGGCTTCTTTTTCCTTCATGCTTTTTAAATACCCCCCCCCGTGAGAAAACAGGAAAGCCTGTATGCCAGGCTGTCTACAAGCAAATGGACTGTATACACGTGCTTGTTTCTTCTTCTCTCTCCCCTTCATTTCTTTCCCATTTGTGATATCCATTTGTGAATCTTGCTTTGGGGTAAGGATCATGCTTGACTGCGTTTTGTAAAGCATTGAGCCCAATGTGGTACCAGCCTAACTTGGAGCTCTAGCTAGTACCATTGCTACACGCCAAAATTAGCAAGGACATAGCTGTGTGGGAACGTCTGTGCAGTACTGCTGTGAAAGCAATGCATTACAGACGTCATAAGATGCAGAAGCATGGCAATGCCACAGTGACCAGTACAATGGAACGAACTGAGCAAAAAAGAACCAGAATTGAAGCAAACGTGCTTCCGAACCCTGGCCATCCTGCTGGCCCATATTTCTGTAAGGCATGAACGTGGCCTTTCTAAAACAACTCCTAGGAGACGTAGTGCAGAGTGAAACACGCACCATCTGTAAGTGTTTGTATAGAAGCAAATGGCAGATGCATTTACATAGTAAAAAAGAATACCTGTATATTTACTTGGTAATCTGTTGGCCCGTGTATCGATCCATACAATCCAAACCCAACTACAAATATCCTTTTATTTACTGAGAACCTGCAAAATAGAGAAATTAAACACAAATGTCAGCAAAACAGCAGCGAGTTGGCCTGCTGCAGTACAACAAGGATGTGTGGCTACTTTAGCAGAGTTTATTTCACACCCAAGCTTTCGCAAAGCACGCGTTGCAGTTTTAAGGGCGCAGAGTCTGAAGAGCAACTGGGAACTTGGAGAGTTGCAGGAATGTCCACAGGAGAAAATGACTGCATTCAACTTCCCTGTGACCACAAACAAATACATCCGGCTGCTACACACATACCCAGTTTGGCCCAGTGCAGAATGAGATTGTGGCCCACTGCTACAACAGCTGCACTCAGAGGCTGGCCTTTCATCAGAAGACGGCCTCCAAGGTGTGAGCTGAATGGACTGAAGCAGCGTGACCTACCCGAGTCACGGCAGCCTGACATGCGGCAGGGAGGGAGGAACTGCTCCAACCTCCTGCAACAAGGTAGGTAACACTGCGCCCTAATAATTCTTTAAATGGTAGCATTAAATATTTCACTGCTGCTCACTGAAGGAGAGACCAGTTAGATAGTGCCCGTAGACACAACTGCAGCTAAATCCAGCAATTACACAACAGGCTCTGGAACAGCTGCTATCTGGATTTGCCTGGGTAGAGAACAACCTCAGCAGTTCCTCCCCACCCCCAGGGCAAAATGCAGAGCTCCATCTTCCAAGACAGGAGGGAAGAGACATGTAGCACTTTGTCCTAATCCACAGAATGCCTCAAGCTGCCCTCTGGCTGCCCAAAACCAGACTGCGTTGCACACTCCTGCCTATCAAAACCCTCATTGCCGTACCCACTAGTTTTGCCAACTGTTTCAATGCTGTGCTTTGAAAAACACAGATCGGTGGCATGTTCGGAGCTGACCAACTGAGACCAGTGCAAAACATTCAGCGCTCAATTTTCACGCTAGCCTTGCTCTGAATGTACCTTGAAACCATCGGCTGTCAACATTTCACTTCGTTGCAGACAGCTGCCAAGTCTCTGAGCAGTCTTTGCTCTATAATATTCAAGTCCAACGCCCTCTCCAGCACAGCTCTCAAGGAAGGAGAATCAATTGCTCGGAACAGCCAACTGACAGCTCTACGGGTATGTAAAATACTGCAACTTAACAAGGATACTCCAGAATTTCAAAGCAACTTTCCAGGTAATTTCCTCCATCAGCAACTCGCTTAAATTACACGGCAAGAAAATCTGGGAACAGCCCAGGCCTTTAATCTAACCACTAATTCACAGCATTTACAATCACATCACCGCAGCCATTTGTGACCCTGCAAAAATCCACAGGACACTTAAAACTACAGAAACCAACTTGATGTACGCAGAAAAGCAGGTACAGCAAGTGCATATATCCGAAGGCCTCCCCTAAAATACTATTAATCCTGTAACACTAAGCCCCCGTTATTTACCACCTTCACACAGAAGGGAAACAGATGCAAGAGCACCAGTGGATCGAGAGATCTAGTCATCCAGGAATAAGTCACGATTTGATTGCTATCTATCTCCACCATACACGGCTGCAGGAAACAATTGGAAGGGGATCTGACACTCGAGCAAGATCAGCTGGCACAATCGAGAGCTTTGTCGATACTCTGCAGTTTTGCCACTTGATACCGGCACCATTTACTGCACAGGCATGGCTTATAGCCTTGTTAAGGAAGCAGGTTACACTTTCGCAATATAATGTGCCTGTATATTGGGGGTCCTGGCTGGGACGGGACCCTTTTTGCATGCTAATTTTCTCGTTTAGGCCAGGTCTAGGACCCTCAAAGCTCAGCAGAACGTTAACCTATCAGCAGCAGAATTGGCATTAAGGCTGACCTTATCCTGTCACTAGTCCCACTGTACCCCCAGCGGCTCTCCACCTGCTGGAAACGATTGATGCTGCACTCCTTCCCCCTCAGGCAGCAGCGCGGTCTGTCGATGAATTCCACCCGTGGTTTGGGATTTACCGTGAAGTGGAGAAACAGGCTCACCACTTCACGATCGGTAAGGATTCCTGACTGGGCAGGACCTGGAAAGGAGCACAGAGACAGCAACCCCGTCACCGATTAATAAGCAAAAATCGTCGCAAGTATTACAGCAAGAAGCAACTCTGTTGGAAATAGGCCAGTCCTACGTGATGTATGCAAGGGATCTGGCAGAAGTTATTGCAAGAAAGTCACTCGACTTCACCAAGAACACAGAAGACCTGGCCACATTTTCCCCTGTACATCAAGCTATTCAATTCAACGCTTCTCTGTACGGGACACTTCAGATGTGGATGCATCATAAATGCAGTTCCACGCATGCAAAGTGCGTTTGGCTAACTTCGACCACAATTTAGAGAATCAAAGGCATGCCTCCGATTTCCCATCCGCTTAAGTTACCTTAATATTTTATGCAAGTCCCAAGTACTTCTAGATTGAATAAACATTCACTTAGTTTTCAACACTACAGAAGAGACACTGGGTGGGATAAAGTGCAGGAGGAAGATAAGCAGATGTCAGAGGGTGACAATCAACTTGCAAGGTAGGTAGCTTTAACAGTGGAGATAGATATTGTTACGGGCATTAACACCTGCTCCCGAGTTCCCACTATTTGGAATCTGACTCTCACTTTCTTGAAAACCATTTTTCTCCCTGCTCCCGTCTGGAAGACAGACTGGGGGGAAACCGGGATGGGGGGGAGCGGGATCAGATTATAGTTACAGCAACACAACATGTTAAAAAAGAGCTAAGCAAAAATATTTTCCCATCTTTGTTCAGAAAGTGTTTATTCTAGATTTTCTTCTTCTAAAGGGGACATTACTTGCAAACTTTTGGAGATTAATTAAGTTTTAAAACACCGTCCGAGTTTCTAACAAAGCACCATTTAAACAGCACGCCCCAATTCCTTTAGAAAGTAGTTTTACAAGCTGTTCTGCTTCTCCACTTACAGGAGGCTTTTCAATGCATGAGAAATACTGAAATGAGAAACAACGAAAATGATCATACAAACTGTGTCCAACGCACACTAACAGAAGTGTTTTCAGCATCTAAGGTGTTCCTTGTAATTCTAGCTGGTGACATTCAGCTTTTTAAATAGCATCCCCTTTAAGTAGGATCAAAAGACTCATAATTTGAAGAAACAGGTCTTGTGAACACTGAAATGGCTTTATGGAAACTATCCGCAAGAAGCGACTACGAACAGATCGTGTCTCAACAGACCCAGTATTGCTGCAATTCTACGTCTAGAACGTTTCAAGTTACTTGTCCTGCGGGAAAGGTGTGGCACATCTGCTTACCAGGCAAGAGGCTTTCGTGTGAAACTCCACTTCAGCACTAGCGTATAACCTGCTTTTACTGAAATCACACCCCCTTGTGTGGGCCCAGTTCCCATTTCCTACCTCCACAGAACAGAAGCCGAAGACTTTGCTCTGGGAATGCTGCAAGGACAAAGCTGAAAAAACCCCAAGATCCCATCCTTAGTGCTTAAGGGAACGATGAAAAGTGTAAGTTGTTAGGCTTTAAAAAAGCTAAAATGAATGTTGGAGGCACATTTACTACACATTAGGCGCATCCACATGTGCAATTAGTGCACATGAATAAACTCTGGGGCTTACTGTCATTTGAATGTGCGCCCAGGGGCAATTAACTCTAGAGCAATCAGCTCTGGAGCAGCCACAGCTGGCAAGGGGGCCACAGGGGTCAGCCTGCCAGCCCAGGGCTGCTCCAACCAGGCTCCATGTGCTGTAGAGGGGCTGGTAGGAGCACAATGGTGCTTCAGTGTAGGGCCAGCCGGCAGGCAGCCCCCATACCGAAGCACCCTCATGCCCCACCCAGCCAACTCAGCATCTACACATTGCACACAAAAAATACTCCGCAACAGGGTAGCGTCTGTATTTACAAGTACTACCCTGCTGCGGAGTTCATCATTTCCCTGTGCCCTAACAGGGCCACAAGTGTAGACCCCGAGACGTTTACTGCGGAGCTAATTAGTCAGCTCCACAGTAAGCGTCTCGTGTAGACGTGCCCATTAAGAAATTATAACCCCTAAGCAAGATGCCACCTTTGATTTTGGGATGACTGGGACCGTGAGTCAAACAAGCAGTCTTCAGAACAGCAGACAGTAAGTCCTGGCTTTCCCAGACTCAAGAGCTGGCTTCATAAACATCACAAAACTATGCAAACCTCCCACATAGCTAAAGGGGAAGAAAAGCCAAACACCTCCAGAAAGGAAAGATGCAGATAGGCAGAAACAGCTGACATTTCCTGCTCCCCGCCTTCCCAACAAATCTCGACACTCACCAGAAAAAGGCTACCTAAATCAAGCTAGCTGCCAAACCAGATCAGGAACTGATGCATTATCTTGTATCGAGCTAATACAATAGACTGGCAAAGGTCACACGGATGGCAGTTTCAAAGTGGAGAGCAATTAGAAAATAGACAACCAACAATTCCCCCTAAGTCACCCTTAGGAATAAGATATGACTATTATCACAGTTAGTTAATACTGTTAGTACTCTTAAACAAAGTAGTTTGCACATGATGCTGGAACACAGAAGGATAGCCCTGCTCAGGTATTGGCTTTTTCATGCAGATCAACAATAAAAAAAAATAAAACATACTGAAAGCAGACAATGACAGTGACAATGGGATTCCACTTGGAGAACTAAAGATTCAGTCTCCTGAAATGGATTAGAAAAGACCGATTTACCCTGCAGATTCTGTTGTCAAACATTTTCAATAGCACAGGACAGTCTTACAGACAAAACCGACTTTAACATACTTCATCCTCTACAAGAGAGAGAAAGCAGAGACCAAGTCTCCCAGAAGCTCCTTGATTCAGTTACCTGCTGCAAACTCCTCAATAGTCATCAATGGGAAGCGAATAAGAGAAAGTGCTTTGCCCAGTACTTTCCGCTTGTTCTCTGGAATCACCTGAAGTTGCTGCCGCTGACATTCAGCCTCCGACCAGCGAACCACTGCATTAAACAAACGAACCTCCCGAATCCCCAAGGTGTCCCTCTCCAGCACCGCAACCAGGGTGTCTGTAAGGCAGGACAGCAACGACTTTAGGCACTAACCCGAATGTCCTGATTTTAAATGGTCCAAACTTTCCATGAATGACCCCGAGGGGAGCAAAGGAACTGTGAGGCTGCTCCCAAGCATTGTGTGCATGGCTGACAATTCGGCTGGCACGTTCCACGAGGAGGTATGCCATCGCAATAGCAAGTGGGGCCCACATATTGGTTACACTTACTAGGTGCAGCAGAAGGAATTTCTATTTACAAGTCTGAACAAGATAAACAGTGAAAAAGCCAAAAGGGCTGCACTGTATTATCCATGCTCTAATTCCAGTTTTAAGAAGGGATTCCACTAAAAAAGGACCTTTCAAGTACTGTTCTAGGTTTATGGAGTGGTCCCTGATGTCCATGGACATGCATGCAATGTTTAATATCTGACTCTTGCTTCAAAATGCAAAACCTTTTAATTCAAGCATCTAATGGAAACCTGGGACAAATGCCAACCCTTCCCACAGAAGGTAAGTTACACCCGCCCTCAACCTGCCAACAGCAACAGAAGGGATGGGCCTTTTATCATGCCTTGGAGAAAAAAATTGTCATTACACTGAGGGAAGCAAGTTCCAGAGTCCAGTTTCAAGAGTTCTATTTAGAGCAACCTGCCTCCAACAGCTGATCCAGGGACTGTTGGTTCAAACACTCCAGAGATTGCTTCCAGGTAGTGAGTGCAAAGCCACAGGGAGAAATCACCGAGTAAATACAAACCTGCATAATAATGATCTAAAAGTCAAGCATGTAACGAGTGACTGCAGAGAAAAAGGGAAAAAAAAAAAAATCTTACCTAAATCGATGTCTGTGAACCCCTCAGCATTGATGGCATCTGATGTGTTCTTATCTATGTTCTCTAGGCAGAGGCTGGCCAGCTGGGGTTCATCAAAGAGTCTTGCCTAACAAGTAAGTATGCATCATTAACACAAAGACAAATAATTGTTTACACCTTCCATCTTTTTGCCCAATCTTGATTTTACTCCACGGATTTATTACACCGCTGGTTTGCAAGCCGTGGGAACTAGTGATGCAGGCAGACAACATTTCACAGGAGTTGAGTGCGACTATGCAAACACTTGCAAACTTAACAGTTGCATCAATTCCGTTTAACTGTATACATCCTCGTGCTCATCTTTACTGGAAGGTTACATCGGGTTAGAAAAAGCACCATGTTGATCACAACCATAGACCAGGACAAGTGACACTCAGCATGTCAGCTGACTGTAGGTAAGCCATACCAATTATTTTTGTTACCAGAGGAAGCCTAATGCAGCTGACTAACACCTTGCTCTGCAGTAAGGACATTTGCAGCATTTAACTACATCAATGCCACGGCATCAGTGCAAACCTCAAGAAGTAGGTAGGCCTCTGCGATGCAAAATGAGGCTTGCACTAATGCAGCTCAATCTAGCAATAGGCCAAAGCAAGCCGTCCTGTTGCAAGTCCTGCCTTTCTCCGGTGCAAAGTGCTTGCACATTTTGCCCAGGTGCAGCTACACAGACTGAGGTTCATGAAGAGTTTTGTGTAACTCCTGCAGAGTTCAGAAAGATGCTCAAAGTTGCATAAGGATCCAAACTCCACCTGGGTTACTAAGTCTAGCGTTGGAGGATATTATCTCCCTGTGGCTTACACTAGTTTACTGAAAGTCATCCAGAGAGATGGGACCATGCAGAGCCTGTCCCTGAGCATGCTGACACCACTCCCCCTCCCTCTTTTTCACTGACACTATATGCTTTTCAGAGCAGCAACTATCTAGCTACCTGCATATATAATGTCCAAAACAATGGTGCTACAACTTTGGCTGGGAGCTCCAGGTACTATCACTAAAACCCAAGAGGCTCTGATCTAGTAAACTGCTGTTTTGAGCCTCCCTTCCTGTACTGGCATTTTCCTGCTTGAGCCCTGTTGGTGATAGTCTCCTGGCTCCCAGGAGTTGTGGCTCTCTCAACCTTGTTACACTCAAGGCACCCCTTGGAAAACACCAGGTCTTTAGTTTTCAGTCTCTCTCACTTTTTCTGTAGTAAAAAAAAAATTAAAAAAAATAGAGTTCTTCTGTTGCAAAGAACTCGGAAAGACCGTGCCAGGTCAGAACGGTTTTAACATTGAATTCCTACTTGAAATCTCTGGGCTTTTCTTGAGACTCCTGTTTGCACACCTAACCGTGCTAACACTGTGCAGTACTCCGTGGCACCCTTGTAAAGGATCTCAAGGCGTGCCACAACGCTGCTGCATCCTGGCTGACAATCACTGCTATACAGCTTTGAATCTTCAGCTTTGATGCCCACTAAGTCACTTCCTGCCAGACTTCTAGATCCTCGGGTTGTAGTTACTCAGCATTTCTTCTTTGACTTGCCAACACACATCACTTCAGCACAGCACCGTGAACTAGGGAGGCACAGACAATGAAGGCAGTTGCCCATCACTGGTATTTCTGCAAGAGGTTCAGGGGCAGCATACTGGCAGGATTTCATCTCGGTCAGCCCTGCAATGATTTCAATGGGTCAGGAGGGCCAGCGGTGAAAGAATCGTACAGCCTAACAGTCAGGTACAGAACCTCAGCTATCTGAGGAGTGAAGTGCGGCTCTGGAATCGGAGCCTGGTTTGAAACCGGTTTTGTGGGAGACAATTTCACAGATGGCAGCTCTGCAGGTAACCCTCCAAACTGCTACACTTGTGATACAAGTAGCTGGAGCTTGATCTTCATATTCCTGGAGAACTGAGAGTACCGTTTGAAGCAAGGGGTCTTTAAATTAGCCCCTCACCAATATACCCCCAAGTAAGCGTCTCAAAAAGACACTAAGGCATTGAGGGGCTTTGGGAAGTAAAATGACAAAGCCAGATACTGCCGATCTCCGAATCAAAGCACCCATCCAAACAACCACGTAGGAAGCAACAGCCATCAACTGCACAGGACAGGATGCCCCAAGGCAGCTAGCCCATCTGGCTGCAACTCAGTCTGAGCTAGGAATGGAAACTGGGCTCATTCCTCTAGAAGACAAGTACCACTGCAATAGTTCAAGGCACCTTTCCCCCACTGTGTTCACGTATTGTTAGCAAGGGAGTTGAACAACATTCCCTACCCCGCAGCAGAACGGGGAGAACATATTTGCTAGTTTTCTTCCTTCTTTTGTGCAGCATGCCACTACAATGCAGCCCCAGTCCACGCCTAGGACATGTAGGCACTGTAACAGGCAGCGTGCCATGACAGAACAGCTATAGCTTGGAACTTGCGGATCTGCCCTCGGTCATGACTACGAAGGCTGGCACTACCCAGGAAAGGCCTGAAATGAGAGCAGAAGTCCTAATAGGGATGAAAACAGGGAAGGAAAGGCAATGCCACTTATAGTACCAACAAGCTTCAGAAAGGCTAAGTTTTCCCAACTCAAGCAGAAGCAAGAGAGGACTCCCATAGGCTCCCAATGGAGGACTCCCAATGTTATACTCCCATAGGCTGCCTATAGCAGTTAGAAAGAATGGCAGCTGCTTGGACAACTCTTATAAATAACCGCACAGAGAAAGACAGGACCAGGGGAACCACTCTCAAGAAATTCCACATCCCTGTACACCACCTACCCTGGTATCTTGGCTGTAGGGCCTGAGGAAAAGATTCTCTCCAGTTACTGGAAACAGGGACCTTACCTCTTCCACCTCACATCTGTCATCTCTTCCCTTCCAAGGAAAGAGGGCAGCCTGCAGCATTAGAGGGTAAGAGAAGGCTCACTTTTTCAATACAGTATGTGCGGGGGAAATCCTACTCTAGGGGAAATCTTGCAAAAAAAGGGGCAGTCCAGCAGACAGCCTGTCTCTAATGCAGCAAGTGCTTATTGTGAGACATCCTAAATGTCAACAAGTGCGTTCATTTTACTTTTGTAGGCATGAACCTTTTCGAGCACAGGAAGCTCAGTGAAGTCTTCCTCACCACCGAACAATTTCACATTTTCCCACTGTCCTGCTCCCACCAAAGAACCCCACGTACTATACTTTAATGCAACAGACGAGAAGAGTTGCAAGTATCTGTAATTCAAGCTTTAATGAAGAACAACGTAGACCATCATTAAATCAGCGAGGGAAAACCTATCAGGTCATGACAACATTTCTAGAATCAAGAGCACAAAACCCCCCCCACCTTCCAGGGCACAGATTGCTCTACTGCTCTTGAAAAAGTAACCCTTCTATGGTGCGTTTCTAAAGCATAAGCAATATTGATACTAATGGAACTGCTGGATTTGTTCTAAGCGACCTGGAACACAAATGGGCCGGGAACGTACCTGCGTTAAAAGCATGAATGCATTGTCTGCTCGAAGGTTTTTCTTTAGGAATTCCACACAATGGGCTTCAAGGGCAGGAACAGCATATTTTTTAGCTGTGTAAAGTGTTGTCATCACAGTCTCTGGTCCAATCTGAACTTCATCAGAATACAGAAACCTGGAAGCATACAAATAAAAGGCTCTCTCATAAACCTGCTTTAACCAGTAAGATAGCAGGAAAAATAAGGACAAAAATCCCTGCGATTCACAAGAACCATTAAAGGTTATTTCCCTGTTATGATGGTCCAACTTATTCTTAGTATCCACTGTTATCCTTCCCACCTCTGGCTTCATCATTCATGTCTGATGAGTAATGAATTAAGGTGCTACGATGTATCCAGCATCATGAATGATCAGGAACATCTAGTAGGGATGATGGGGAGATCCTTTCATCAGCATTTTTCCACATACTTTCACATCTCCACCTTTACTGAAATAGTTCTCCAATGAAACAGCTCATGTTCCAGCTGAATAATAATGAGCATCAAAACAGTTTTAAATATAGTAACCATCAAAGTAATCAATCGGTCAATAAATATAAAGCAGCTGGCTTCAGGATAAGTGAAGCTAAGTCAAATCTCAGCCTTGGTTTCACTCTTCATGATAGCAAAGGCTGAGGGAACTACGCTTCAGACATCCCTGGAGGGCAGCCACCCTCTCAGTCCCCCAACTAACTTCCCATAAACTCCCAGGAGGGGAGTTAGGAAGTTTTATAAAAACTGGAAATAAAAATCCTTCATAAGGGTCCAGGCTTGACTTTGACTCTTCCCCCATTCCCCACACAAATATGCTGACTAGAGATATGATTATCACCACCTGAAACAGGCTGCTTAAGTGAGGCAAGGCTCCAACCTGGTGCAGGTCATACCACAGGAGATGGAGGTCTTCAACCTAAAGCCCCTGAATTAGGAGTAGTTCTCCTGAATTCAGGAAGGCCCGCTTGTATGCAAATTGCACAGGATAGGGCCTAGAAGGCCAATTAAGACTTACAAATCAGTCCATTTTTGCTTAAAGCTTTAGTTGCTTTCACCCAGGATTTACTACTTTATTCTGAAGAGGTGGAATATATTCAGTACAAAATAATTACTTGCACATGTATTAAACCACAGGTGTCAAACTCACGTGGCCACGCAGGCCAAATGAGTGGTGCAGGGCCAGTCCACAAGTTGGATCAGGCCCAGAGACCTCCCTCCCCTCCCCAACCCCCCTGTAAGCTGCATCCAGGACATGTGATGCCTGGGGATCCAGAGCCTTGGCTGGTCCAGGACAGGCACGCGACAGCTGGGAAGAGGACATCATACACAGCGCAGATCCCAGACCAGCCAGAACGGGAGCCACGTACTTCATGGAACCTGGAACGGATGAAGTGGACACTGTGTATGGCACATGTCCAGGCCCAGGGGCAGCACTGTGGACCAGATCATGGGGTTCTCTGGACTGGATACAGCGCACAGGCCATACCTTTGACACCCCTGCATTAAAACAATCTCCAGCTGAAGTTTAAGACTTCAGTGCTTCCTTCTCAGTCCTTCAATATTGCCCCACAAAGGCTCTGGGCCATGCTGAGATCATCTGCATTATTGGCACAGCTGTAGGCAGCCCATTCGGTATCAGGATGTCTCTATGGCTACTGTGCAAACAGACATGCTCACCATCTTCAGGAACTTACTACTGAGGGGCTACTGAGTTCCTGATCCTTTAATTCCCAGGAAGGACCAGAATGCGTTTCAGGGGAAGAGACAAGTGAGGGAACTTCTAGGAAAGGGAGTAATGAACTCCAAGCAGGCTTTTAGTGATGCTCTAGATATGAAGCATTTATTATTAACACTATGTAGCCACAGCTTTGTGAACATATTTCAGCCCTTTTCCTTACTGCAAAGGTTTACTTTTACTAGGTTACCATATCTTTTTATTGCAAGCTAGCTTTAGAAAGTAAACTAATAGTATGTACCACAAATGCTGTGCTGTTTCATGCAGCATCCAAGTCTGGTTTGGAGTCTGTTTCAATACCAGACCCAGGAAGAGCATGAAGCAATGGAGTTAAAGCAGGAATTCATAACAGGCCTATAAGAAAATGTATGGCTGCAATTTTATATAAATGGATTTTTTTCTTGGCTTTTTAGCAGGATATTGGCAATTCCTAGAGGAAGGCTGATGCTACATAAGCCTAGACAACCAAGAGCCCCATACAAGTTTGTAAGGGAGAAGGGCCACAGATACAAAAGATACCATCAAAAATCAAACACCTGATTCACCAGCTTTGGAATCCATCTTCTGGTAGTGGCCAGCAACTGAACCTTAATGGCAAAAACTGAAATCCTGGATGTAAATGAAAGATTCGTTCCAGACATCATTCATCATACCGTGTTCTGAGCCACAATTAAGAATGACTGTATCAGGGGGAAAGTGGAAAGGATTCTCCCTGAACATAAGTACAATTCAAATAGGGACTCACGCTTTCTTGCTTTCTAAGCACTTTACCCGAGCTTATCATTCCTTCCGACAATACCGTGTAAGAGATTTGATGGCTGACTTACTTTCCCCCATCACAGAACTATACCTAGACATACAAGGCCTAGTAAACCGCACAAAGACAGCTTTAATGCCCATAACTGACCTCACACAACAAATCCAGGATATAGAAAAGATGTGGGGAAAAACTAAAGACACCCAGGTGGGCTATCCTGGAAGACAACACCTTACACTTAATAGTCCAAACACCAAGTCTGGTACTAACAATAATACAAGGTGCAACTATGACTGTGCTAACTGGAATGTGCTGTTATCTACATCACCAACGCAAGAATGCTAAAAATGCAAAACCAGACTGAAAAGAGATTGAAACCAGACTGAAAAGAGACTGACTTTAGCTATAAGGCTGCAGTAACTAATGATACTCCCTTTACCCAATACTACTACTATTTAGTCGTTAACCAATTTTATTGTACTATGCTTTATACTAACGTGAAGTATAACACAGCATTTTTTCACCAGTTGTTACTCAGTTAATTTATATATATTAGATGAAGTTTCTCCCCTTCCTCTAAAGGAATCAGCTACGCCAAAACCAGAAAAATCTTTTGTTTGCAGAAATGGGTGTTATGCATCCCACATTTAACTGCTCAACCAAAATTGTGGGACTTCAGTGAAAATTCAAGATGGGACTTAAATTAGTATTGTATCCAGTTCCGGTGAAGCGTTTAAGTGAATCTGCTCTGCTACCAGAGCGTGAATATGGAGTTTATGTGGAAGAATATAAACCAAGGGAAACCGATGCAGGAATTGGCAGCAACTGGAATGCTACCTGAGACGCGTGAAGATATAACTGAGGAAAACACGCAAGAACTTTGGGTTTCTTGGGTGTCTGACTTTGGGTCTCTCTGCATGTTATACGTATATATTCAATCATCCGTCATCATCATATATGGCTTATTATCATTGCAGGACACTCCTCTCGACCTAAGTCCCGACCTAACATTCCCAGGCCCAATCTATGGGACAAACAATTAGAAAACACTGTCTACAGGTCATACGAGGGAATGTGCAGACCAGTGTGCAGACAAGAGGGGCATGAATGTATAGAAGGGTAGAGCAAGGTAACCTCAAAACAGTGTTTAGCCCACTGAGTTACCCTCTACCTATAATTATGCTTTTCCAGGATGATTGGTAGACAAAAGATAAAAAAAGAAAAGAAGGGAATAAGCCTCACTGGAGCACTGATCAATACATGCTGCTCACACAAGGGCTTTGTTAAAGCACTGGCCAGAGTAAACCTCACTAGCAAACCTGACTGATGCATGAACTCCTCACATAAACAAAATGGGCACATGGGACAGATGTACCTCCTGCCAAGACACAGGAGGGAGAAATGATGGTACAAGGTAGGATAGTCCAGTACCAGGATGATAAGGCTGGAACGGGAACACCTAGGTCAGAATGTGAAACAAGTCCCTGATGCAGGACTGTTTGAGACATTCAGGATACCGAAGGAATGCAATACATCCTTTGTTTTGCACATCGTATAAAAGAAGAATCGGAAATCGTGGGAAATTTGTAGCAGCCTGGGGGAGCCTGCGTGGTATTGTGCTGACTACCTTGTCATAGGTACAAAACGCCTTAGCTCCTGGTGTGATGTACTTGTTAGGCCAAAAGGTGTTAGGGCTGTGCTCGTAGACAAACCTGGCCAAATCTTTGCCACCGAACCAAGCCTGTGGTCATTCTTTAAGACGAGTTTACTGTTGGGATCTCCGGGCTCCAACTTTGCCAGCACTGCAGTTCCTAAGACTTCAACACTGACAGTATATCAAGTACAACACCTGATGAGGACAACAGCAATGACAACACTGATAATCCCAGACGACAGCACTTTAAGAGGAAGGGCAGGAACCTTGTCTAATGTGCAAGAGGTAGGTAGGGATGCACCGATAAAGATTTTTTTGGCCGATATTGATGCCCGATTATTAACCAGCCATATTGGCCAATACCGATCAGACTGCTGATATGCAGCCCGGCAGACTGGAGAGCAGTGTCTGGCCGATAAGTCTATGGGGGGGAAGGGGTGTGGGGAGAGCAGATCAGGGCCTTGCAGTGCGGGAGGGAGCGGGGCTGGAGCACAGGCAGGGGCAGGCACTGTTCAGCCAGGGCAGGGCAAAGGACAGAGCCACGGGCGGCTCCTACTGCTGCACACACCCCCAGGGGAGGCATGGGGGGCATGTGCCCCCTGGATTTGTGTGCAGGGTGAGCTGCCCACTGTGGTCTGGGGCCACAATGGCCTCTTCCCAGTAGGGCTGGGCTGGGGCTGTGCTCAGGGCGGGCAGCAACAATGTTGAAAGGGGGGGCTACAGAGTGGGCTATGGCCACCTCAAAATTTACCACATCGCCCCCTGTAGTTCCCCCTCCCAATGCCACTGCCACCCGCCCCCCTCCCCCACTGGGAAGTGGTCAGCACAGCCCCCGGCCTCACCCTGCGGGCAGCCCACCCTTGCCCTGCACACAAATACAGGGGGGGGGCACATCCCCCCCATGCCTCCCCTGGGGGGTGCATGAGTCAGCCCCCATTCCTCCCCCGCTCTGTCCCACACTCCGTCCTGCCCCAGCTGGGCAGCGCCTGCCCCAGCC